ACCCACATTGTCCTCGCAGCAAATTGAATTATAACTAGGCACGGACCAATAGTTAGTTTAGTGGGACAATAGTTTTTAGTATTAAGAAAAATAATATTTTCATACAAAAAATTAAGTCATACAATTTTTTTCAATGAGTGCGCTCTTGTTCTCACTTAGCATAATTTAATTGTTTTTACACTCTCACTCAGACTGACTTTTGTTGTGCTCGATAAAAAAGAAAGAAGAGGCGTAGAGAGAAAATAAGAAGAAAGGAATAAATTAACTTCCTTTATTAGGTAGAAATAATACAAATAAGGAAAGGAGTAGAGGAATGATCCGCGAAAGAAAGGAGAAGAGGAATGATCTGCAAATTTTTATCCACCAAAAAATAAGCAAAAGAAATAAAAGAAGACAAATGGATTATTATAAAAGTTTTAAATTAAATATTTTAATAAATTATACAAATTTTAAATTACAATACCATCCTCTATAAATTATAATATTATTAATATTATTGCATACAATAGTAAAAACATTTAAAATTTTCTCTTTCCTTCTCTGAACTATAAGAGCCCATTTGGCATCCGTTTTGTTTTTGTTGTTTTTGTTTTTGGAAGACTACAGTTTCGATTTTAGCAACAAAAGAATGTTTGGTGCGGTCTTGTGTTTATTTTATACAGTGTTAAGACACTTCATGAACAATGATCCAAAACCAAAATACCAAAAAAATATTTTTTCTTATTTTGACATATGTTCATGGTCCAAAACCATAACAATAGCGCAATACGGACCATAACATTTCACAGCAAAATTTCGTTCATAAACATACTTCTGATTTTTTTTTTTTTTTCAAAGCACTCCTATAGAAAAAATACTGTTTCTATTTTAACCAAATACAAAATGCCTAAAACAAAGTGCATGCCAAACGGGCCCTAAGCTTATTCTTTTCTTTTCTATTAAACCGGACAAAAACAAAAAAAATACACTTCTTATTCTCTTGAAATATTTCATCCATTTATTCTTCTCTCCCTTCCCTCCAACTTTTATCTTTCCCACCTAACATAGCATTGGAGAAAAAGCAAAACGATTTCCCCCCGCCAAAGGGCACTATAGCCACAATCATGAAACCAAAAGCTGCAGTAGCTTTGGTTCGGCTCGGGGTTCCACCAGGTCGGTGTGAACAGCAATCCCAATTTGAGCACTTAGTTAGGTGAGTCCTTTTGAATATGTGTAATATAAATAATTCACGGTAATATTTTATAGAAATATATAAGTAAAACCAAAACATTTACAATTATATGCATGTTCTTAACTTAGAAATCTTTTTAAAAAAATGAAAAACTCTAAAAATAGAATATCCATTTACATATATATTCGATATAATAATTGATTTAAATAGATTCACGATGTGATGGAATTTTAGTCTAACCAAACTCATTTTTATCCTTTGATTATATTGTATTTTATATCCGTCTTCACAAGGACACCAACAAACACATAAAATTGTGTGCTCCAATATGAAAGGAGGGAGAATGTTGACTTTAAAGTAAAGGGAACGTAAATCGTATGCAATTTCCCTCTGCATTCTTGCCAACCAAACACGAAATATAGATTTAAAAATGGGTTCCGAGCAGCGGGTCATACTAATTGGATGGACAATTTATTTTTTATAACTAGGAATCCAAATCTTGGTGGGCCTTATTATTTAATTCAAGATCTACACGCCACCTGAAATAGGTGAAATTAATAGGACAGTGAAAATCTCTGGTAGGCTTTATTTTTAGGATGATTATAAAAAACCAATTATATTATTAGGAATAAGGATGGGGTTGTTTTGAAAAATTCTGACAAGTTTTGAAACTATGTTGAAGAAAGGTTGTCCCGTCCCATCCTGAATATATTATAAATTTATTAAATTATTTTTACATATTATGATATTTTATTAAAATAATTTAACTATATATATATATATATATATACATAATCCTAATCTACATTTTATTTTATATTTTAAGTTTTGTGAAAAAAAAACAAAAAAGAGCTACGATGATAAAAAATCTCCACCCTAATCTCGTTTGTGGCAGTTTTAAAGAACCGATTAAGTGAATGGGTGCAGTTTTTAAAAAGTTCGACAAGTTTTGAAACAATTATGTGATGAAAAAATTAAAGCAGAGATAGAAAATTAGATACGGCCCATTGCCATTCCTAACCTGAAATTTGTAATGCCACGTGTGCAAAAGCACCGACAATTACATGACCCAGCCAAATTTTATCAACTCCGATCCAGGTCAGTTTGGTCAGTCCGGTCGTCTGAACCACCACTTTGTATGCACGGATACTCATAAAAATTGCATGTGTGACACGATAAGTCAAAAAAGGTCCAAAATAAAAAATAAAAAAAAAATAATGAATAGAACTACATGTGAAAAATAATAATAGTATATATATAAAAGAGTAAATTTTACTCATTTTATTTACAGCATAATGAACCAAATCAGTAATTTAAATTTTTAGAGTTAGATGTTTCTTATTTTTATTTTCTAAAATTAATTTTAAATTTATCTAATATATTTTGAAATTGCATTGAAATTACACTATTTTAGATAAAATAATCACAAAATTATCACGTAGTATCTTTAAAATATTCCAATTGTTTCTCTATCGTGTTACAACTACAGTGAAAAAAATATTCAAAATTCACAATTCCTTTAACCATGTGGAACACATGTTTGGGGGCATAACTCAAGATTGTTTATATATTCTAGTCTAACAAGTATGTATACGACTACAGGGTGCAAATATGATATGATAAAACAAATCGAAAAAAAAAAAAGTATTGAGTACGGTGGGATACCGCAAATATTAATATTAATAATAATAATAAATACATTTATATATATTATTTTTTTTATATTAATTTCTTGTAATATTATGAACCTAAATACAATCATTATTACAATGCAGAATATAAGAGTTCACTTCAAAAAACAAAAAACAAGCATTCTTCTTGTTCATCACTTAATAAAATTTGAATTTTTCTCAACACTTATACTATTTACTATCGTGGAAAAAGTTATATTTTAATGTTCAAAACTTGTTAAAAATGTATTTTGAAAGATTTGAGAAGTTTTTGAAAAGTATCGGATACGTGTGAGAAATTAAAATATATAATTTAAGATTTTGGATACGTTAAAGAAATATCGGACATGTATTCACAATTATTCAAAAAGTATCGATATCCGACACATATAGAATATGAGTCGTCACCCGCGTAGAAATGTTTGTCCTTTCTAATTCCTAGTGTTAAAAGAATTTTTCATTATTCTTAGAAGTTGACCACAATATGCATTGCTCACTTGTCAATCTCTTATAGGAATATTGGCTATTAGTGAATGAACTTTGAGTTTGAGATTTAGAGGGGGAGTTAATGTGACATAAAGATATAAAGAAAGAGATGTATTTTGGCAAATTATTAGAGAGAGAGGTCAACTCATCTTTGACTGGCAGGTTGATAAGGGTATTTTAAACTTTTTCATGCATATTTATTAAGAGTAAGAATGGATAGTTAAAACATTTTGGTAAATTGGTAAACATGGAGCACGGTTCACTGTATGGGTGAATACGCGACGTATTATTTGATTCATAACTCTTTTTTAAGGGTCTGATACTATTACACATCTCCATTAATCGGCTGATTCGACCGATTTACACCGATATTCACCCGAATCCATTACACCACAACTACGAACCATGACATTGAGTAATTAGGTAATTCGATGAAAAAATGTATTTTAGAATAAGAAAAAAAATTGAACAGTGATTATTGTTAATATGTTATTATTAATGTTGAATAATTATTAGTCAAACTAGATAGTGATTGTTGTTGATTTTTTTTTATTTTTCCTATGAAAAAAAAAAAAAAAAAAATTGTTGATACTTTTTAAAGATTTGGTAGATTGATACCCTTTTTAGGCCATTCGCAGTGGGCTCGCGGAAGGCCCTTTTCGCGAGCCAAACCAACTTTGGCAACTCCAGCAGGCTTGTGAAAATGGTAGGGCCCAGATTAGGCTCGCGGGCCGGCTCGCGGTATTCCACGAGCCGGCCCGCGATCGTGATAATTTTTTTTTTTGTTTTTTCTAGTTTGAAACGGCGCCGTTTAGGCTGCCTTTTTTTTGTCCAAATGCAAGGCAGTTTCCAAACAGTTAAGGCACTGTTTGGCAGATATTTTTTTTTATTTAAAAAAAACCTAAAAATAGGTTCAAATGAGCTCTCTTTTTTGGAAAAAAAATAAAATAAAATTCATTAAATAAAAAATATATTGTTTAGGCACTATTTATCGAAAAAAAAAATTTATTTGGGCCAAAAAAAATTTCAAAAAGCTTTTGTTTTATTGGTTTTTTTTTCCTTAAAATTTGTTTTTTTATTATTATTATTTTTTGCTTTAAATTGTAATCCTTATTTTCTTATTCCAATTCATTATTTTTAATCCTTATTTTGTAATCCTTATTTATTTGGGACAAAAATAAATAAATAAAAAACTTTTTTTAACACTTTTTGTTATAAAAAAAAAAAAATTAAAATTACAAATTCATCTACTTATTCCCATAGAATTTTCTAATACTTATTTTCTTATTCCAATTCATTATTTTTAATCTTAAAAAACCATTACATAATAAAAATTCTAGTACACGAAATGTCATAACATCTTAAAAGCAAATAAAATGTAACATAAATTAAACATCTTCATCAGCATAGCGGTTTCACAAATTTTCTATCAAATCATTACTCAACCACGTATTTGTCTCTCTGTTGCGAATCTGAAGTTGGCAAGAGGATATGTGTGCCGCTAAAATTAATGGGTATCGACTTAAAGTGGGAATCGGGATTGCATCCTCCGGTGGCGGAGTCCATCTTTCAACATTTGCGTGACGCTCATCTTCAATGATCATATTGTGAAGGATGATGCATGTTTTCATTATGAGGCGAAAGTCATCTTTCTCCTAGTAACGCACTGGTCCTTACATTATTACCCACTTGATTTGCAATACCAAAGCCCGTTCCACATCTTTTCTTGCTACCTCTTGTCGCTGAGCAAATAATTTTTCTTTTGTAGTAGTTGGGTGCGGGATGGTCTGCATCAAAGTTGCCCACTTAGGGTATATACCATCAGACATGTAATACCCCATTCTATAGTGATGTCCATTCACTACATAATTAACCGGAGGTAATTGGCCATTGATGATGCCGTTAAATACCGAGGAATGATCCAACACATTTATATCATTGTGTGAACCCGGCATTCTGAAGAATGCATGCCAGATCCACAAATCTTGTGAGGCAACTGTTTCCAATACGAGAGTATTCTTACCAGATCGTCCCCTATGTGTGCCTTGCCACTCCACTGGGCAATTCTTCCACTCCCAGTGCATACAATAGATATAACCAAGCATACCCGAAAAACCTCTCTGCTCCCCTTCTTCAACCAACTGTGCTATGTCGGCTTCGTTGGGTGGGCGCATATACTCCTCTGTATACATAGCAACAATAGCATTACAAAATGCCTTCAAGCATTTAATGGCAGTGTTCTCGTTGATTTTAATATACTCATCATAGTGATCGGCTGCACAATCATATGCGATTATACGAACAGCAGTTGCCATCTTCTGTATAGAAGACAACCCCAGACGACCAGTTGCATCCTTTTTTTGGACAAAGTAGTCATCATAAGCTTTGACAGCATTAAGGATATGAAGAAAAAGTTCTCGTTGCATCCTGAATCGCCTGTGAAAGTACTCCGGTGGATATGTGCAATTCTCATTGAAGTAGTCTTTCATTAGCTGATAGTGACTTCCCTCTCGGTCACGATGAATGTACTGCTTCTTTTTACGGACTTGAAATACTTGCTCGACTATTTCTGGCCTCACTGAATTCATAATCTCATAGAATTCATCTTGATCCTGTTGAATCAACGCCCCAAAAGGATCACCTTCCGAAGAGGACGACGAGGAAGATGAAGAATTAGAGTCTGCCAAAGGAAAAGCTTGTGATGACGAAGCCATTCGAATTTTGAAATTGAAAAAGATGGGGTGATGATATTTTGCTACAATGGAGATAGATGATTATAGTGATGATTTTCAAATGAGCAAATGAGTTTCATTATATAAGATGAAAATATAGCCGTTTAAAATTCAAATTTTAAAAATATAGCCGTTAAAAATTCAAAATTTAAAAATATAGCCATTTAGGAAAAGTTAAAAAAAAAAAAAAATTTAATTTTTTATTATTATTTTTTTCGGAGAGCGAAAATTCGGAGAGCCTGATGGAGTGTATGTTTTTGGAGAGCGAAAACTGCTGACGTGGCTTTTGAAATTGCTGATGTGACTCTTGAAAAAGCTGATATGACGTTTTTAGAGAGTTAAAATTCGGAGAGACCGGTGCGAATGCTCTTAAAATTTCCTAATTTTTTTATTTTATAATATGGAATGTAAGTTCTTGTGGGCCTTGTCTTTGGAGTGCAGATCCAAACGTCACCTGAATCGAGTAATGCCACGTAGGCAGATGCACCGACAGTTACATGACACAGCCCCAAATTTTATCAACTCCGATCGAGGCCATTTTGGTCATTTTGTTAGCTGGAACGACCGCACTGTCCGTATCTCACTGTTTAGTGGCATTTCTGTAATAATTGTAAAATCTCGACCCGTTTTATTACAACTCATCTCTTCCTTTCTTTTTCTCACTCTACTCTTTTTCAACTTTTGTATCCGTTGAATGCGCACTCTCAACCCCAAAACCTCACCAATGCTTCTGCTTTCTCTGATTGCAGACATGAAATTCTAGGGTTTTTTTTTTTTTTTCTTTCTCATCAAACAAACAAAATCTCAATCTCAATTTTCTTTCAAATGCCGAGTCTGTAGTGTTCGAGTCAACTCACACACATTATTTTTCTCTCTCTAGATTCCCGCCGGTAACAATGGCGGTCACTGGCGACAAATCCGGAGAAACCCAAAACTCGGACGACTCTCTCTCGCACAAAATCACCTCCAAAACTCTATTTCTCGGACTGAAACTCTACGTTGTGATCGGAATATTGGTTGTAGTTCTGATCGCAGTTTCCGTCTTGATCGTTCTCCGTCTCCGTCGGAATCGAAGCTTGAAGAAGAAGAAGAGTCGAATGCTCGTAAAACAGGGTTCAGGATTAGCACCGTTAGTCTCCAAAGAGATCATCGAAGTCAAAGATTCGGATCGTTTGGAAAGTTGCAAAATCGGTGAATTTGAAAAGAAGGAGAAGAAGGCAATTGGGAAGTTGGGGTCGGAGAAGGAGGTTAGGATTGAGGTTGTTGAGGGGAAGAAAGGGAGGTCGGAGAGCACCGAGTCCGGCGGAAGCCGGAGCGAGACGTCGTCGTCCGCGGTGTCGGTGGACGGCCTGAATATTGGTTGGGGCCGGTGGTATAGCTTGAAGGAGCTGGAGATGGCGACTGGTTGGTTTGCGGAGGAGAATGTGATCGGAGAAGGTGGTTATGGTGTTGTCTACAAAGGGGTTTTGCAGGATGGGTCTGTGGTGGCTGTGAAGAGTCTTCTGAACAACAAGTCAGTCACATTGTTCCAATTCAATCTCTGTTTTTTTTTTCAAGAATATTTTGAAACTAATATTGTTTCTTTTCAATTTTTATTTTAAATTCAAGTTTTAATTATTTTGTTTTTATTTGATACTTATTTGATTTTGGGGTTGAATTGTTTTAACAAACACTGTTGGTGGTATGTTATGATCTTTGATGGAAGACTATGGGAAGCTTCTTAGAAATTCAGTCACATTGTTCCAAGAACATTTTGAAACTAATTTTTTTTTTTCATAAGAAAAAAACCTTCAAGTTTCAATTACGGAGTATATTTTGTTGTTATTTGATATTTATTTCATAATGTTGTTGAATTGTTTATTAACTGGTACAGTACTGTTTGTATGTTATGATCTTTGATAAGAGACTATGGGAGCTTCGTAGATGCTTCTCTGGATCTGGACTATTTTGTCTGGGTTCATAACTGGATTTTTCTTTCCTTTTTGTACTAGTTGCTTCTTATTATTAGCAAAAGTAAACGACTGCATTCTTCTTTATTCCTTTTTGTTCTTTCCCATTATTTTTTTATTCTTTAACTTTTTTTTTTTTAATTTTTATTTATTTATTTTTTTCCTTTAAAAATTTATCTTTTTACTTGTTTTCATTTTAGTCTTTATTTTGGGAGGGAAGAGTTTATTGTAATTTTTTTTGGGGTGCAAGAAAAATATATTATTTTTAATTCCGGTACCAGCTCGGCACAGTTGATCACTTATAAAATTTATGAATCTGAGGGAATGATCTTCATTTGATTTGGAAAATTGTTAATATTTAGGTAAAATGACCTTTTTATGAACAGGAATTAGGTGTGACAGGCAATTTACTATTTGATTTTGATCAAGAGAAACATTTATCATCCCTAAAATACGAGATGAGAGTGGGCTGCATAATTTGCACTGTGTGGAGTATTGGAAGGGAAAAGTGGTGCATAGTGCTGCTCCACAATGTGCAATAATTGCATTTTCATATGATGCTGCACTGAACTGATATAATTATTAACTTTGAAGATTTTAATAAAGAATTGAAATAAAAATCTCAATTTCTTATTATTTTTGTGTGTTATTCTCTTTAAATTTGTCACTTGGTAAGTTTCAGGATCAATATCGACTACAATCGTTTGCAATAGAATTCTTTTGAGGATATTGAAAGGGTTTGAAGAGGTTGTTTTAGCCTTTTAGGTCATAAATGCTCAATTTGGTGTTTTTGAAGAATTGTTTCTTCATTCCATGATAGCAGGCTCTTGCAGATTCATGATGATGGGCAAGAATAACTAATTTTATTTCCAAGTCTTATAAATGTTTGAGATATGCTTCATGAAGTTTCAAGAATTGTGATTTCTTTACATTCATAAGTGTTGTTGGACATGCATTTGAGTTTTAGATAGGTTTATTTTCCAGGACATAGTTCTTTTAACTCCAGTTTCCGTAATGGAATCTGTATTGTATTTTGATAAATTTTCTTTCTTTTAAAATATTCCCATTAGTAGTTGACCCTGTGATTTCTTGTTTTAGGGGTCAGGCAGAAAAGGAGTTCAAGGTGGAAGTTGAAGCCATTGGAAAAGTGAGGCACAAGAACCTTGTGGGTCTAATTGGGTACTGTGCAGAAGGTTCTCAGAGGTATTTTTCACAGGCCTATTAGCTTCATTTTATTTTGGTCTAACTAAAAATGCATAAAAGATCTTCTATTGTTCTCCTAAACCAGCCGTGGCAACTTCTACTGCTGATGCAGGTTGGTTGTGTACGAGTACATTGATAATGGCAATTTGGAGCAATGGTTACATGGTGACGTAGGGCCTGTTAGTCCTCTAACCTGGGACATTCGAATGAGAATTGCCATTGGGACTGCAAAAGGGTATGAAATCATAATATTGTTTTCTAATAGCCCAAGGATCTTTTTGACCTTGTTCATGATTCATTAGTCAAAACAAACCGAAAATCTTCCGTTACCATCATATATTGCTTATTCTGACGGTAATGTATCAACTTGTTTTTAAGTAGAACTGAATGTACTTACAGACTGGAATTGAATGTAATATATGTTCATGATGAAATCAATTTTATGACATCCTCTGGTCAAGAATGCTGCAGGGATAATTCTATGATTTGACATATTTCGTTAATAGCAGTTGAAACCATTAAAGTTACAATACCGTAATTAAAGCATAAGTTGAAGTAGGGTTTAACTAATTTTCTCTGGTTTCTGATGGGTTTAATAATATACATGGCACAATTAACTTCTACTAGTGTATTTGGGCATTCGATATGGGATTATATTTTGGAATGACACCATCTGCAATTCTAAGTGTATCCAGTTGTATCTTTTAAGATGGCATATTTGTCCTCATTTTTCTACAGCAGAATGCTGGGGTAAGCCTAACTCACAATAAATCAATTCAATTTCCACTAGACAACAAAATTCACTCGTAGGTTTTTACTTTTCCAATATTAGGGTGCTCTATTTTGTAGGTTTTTACTTTTCCAATATTAGGGGCTCTATTTTGTAATTCTTCATTTCATGTAGTTTTTAGCTTATTCACTGTACTATATTTTCACATAGATAACTGTTATATTTTTCATTCGTCACAGACTAGCCTATTTGCATGAAGGATTAGAACCCAAAGTTGTGCACCGTGATGTAAAATCCAGCAACATTCTTCTAGATAGAAGATGGAACGCAAAAGTATCAGACTTTGGACTTGCAAAGCTCTTAGGATCTGAGAAAAGCTATGTGACTACAAGAGTGATGGGAACATTTGGGTATGTTCTTTATTGAATTCTTACATAAGCTTTCATGGATCTGTTAATCAGACTCAAATGTGGATGATACATATCTCAATGCTCTCCGTTACTATTTTTGTTTTCTTTTGTATTGTTTGTTATTGCAGGTATGTTTCACCGGACTATGCAAGTACAGGTATGCTTAATGAAGGGAGTGATGTGTATAGTTTTGGAGTTCTACTCATGGAAATTATTACAGGAAGGAGCCCAGTTGATTATTCCAGAGCACCTGGAGAGGTTAAAAAAAAATAGTTCTTTTTCTTGTCCCCTTTTTCTTGCATTGGTTGCAACATCTATACAAGTAAATTGTTTCTATTGGCCAAATTTCAGATGAACTTGATTGATTGGTTTAAAGGAATGGTATCAAGTCGTCGGGGGGAAGAGGTGGTTGACCCCCTGATTGAAGTACATCCTTCTTCTAGAGCTTTGAAGCGGGCATTGCTGGTCTGCCTTCGCTGTATAGATCTGGATGCCAAGAAGCGTCCGAAGATGGGGCAAATTGTACATATGCTCGAGGCAGATGAATTCCCTTTTCGTGCTGTGAGCCCCCTATTCTCATACCTTTCATAAAATATAATTGAGTAATAAATAGTGTTCTGAATATCTGTAGTAATTGACTCGACAATGTTGCTTAGCTGATCATCACACAATGCTTCTCATAATGTTTATACTGCTTTTTAGTACGCATGCTTGGGAGGACAATCGAGTGCAAGCATTTTGTTAGGAGGGCTATGAAGTATTTGTTTTTGATGAATGTTACATGACTAAAATCATTATTCTTTACCAGAAGCTCAGAACTCCACAATGATTTGCTGTGTGAGTTGGTGCTAATCTGAGCAACATTTCAGAGTCCAGCTTTGACAATGGGAATAGGGTTGATAATGGAACATAAGCATGCTAGTTACGATGCCCTAATGCTAATTACTTTTGAAAAACCCCTATATAAATTCTGACCCATCAGTACAAAAAACAGGATATAGCATGTACTTCAATTACTCCGGTTACAGTACAACGAATTTTTGGATTAAATTTAGACATTGTAGCAAAAAGAAAAGTATGCCTGGTGAAAGAGCAATTCTACGCATTGATGACTGTTCTTTTATTAAATATTCTGGTGAACTGGTTAGAATATGTGCTCTAATTTCCGATCTATATAATTTATACATAGTTTCAGCAAGTCGCATTAATGAGATCATTTTCCTGATTTTCCTTTAGGTTCCCTAACTTGCCTCATCTAATTACTTGTTTCTTGTCCTGCAGGAACCCCGGTCAGTTAGAGAGACAGATCCTCTCCATTCCCACAAGGCTGTTCCGAATAAAGTTCCATTGGCATTGAAGGATGTTGTGGGTGGTGATGTGCAGAGACCGAAACGGAGATGATCCGTCTGTTGAAGGCACAATGCATAAGAAGGTAATATATAGCGTTGTATTGTGTATACTTTTACAATCATTCTACAAAGAAGAGTCACACCCTCCTGCTTATTTTCTGTATTCTTGTATTGAACACACTTTTATATCTTATATTTAGTTGATATGTCATAGAACCTCTCATTTAAACGAGCCTTGTAAATAAATGCTTTTTTCCCATTATATGTGAAGTTTTATAGTCTCTTCTGAGAATTATCTAAAAAAATAATAATTGTATTAGCATGTTAGGAAACCCTAATATTCTTTGTTTGAGAATTAGAGGATGGCCAAAGAATATGCAAAGCACCTCACTATGTGGAAAAAGTTTCGTTGCCATTTATCCAGGCAGACTAGTTTGACCTATTTATCAGACTGAAGCAATTTAGGCCAATCTAGTCGGTCTTAAAATCATTTTCCATTGCATTATTAAACATACTTAATTGGATAATCACTTAATCCGTCCCGTAAAAGAGTGGAGTTATTTATTTATCTGCTGGTCTACTAGCCAACCAAATCCTCAAGTGGCTTGTTAAAGATGTTCCTGTTATTGTCTTCCTTTTAGTGGCTTGTTAAAGATGTTCCTGTTATTGTCTTACTTTTTATTGCTTGACTTAATTGGATGAAGCAGCAGTAATGAAGAAGCCACCAATATATATATATACACACATTTATATATGTATATATATTTTCCGGAAGAAGCCACCAATATTGCTCTGCTACATACAGTATTCATTATGCCTGTGTTTAATGGAGCTTTGAAACCTCTTTGAGCGTTGTCTGCTTTAATGAGTGCACCACATGTCCTATGATCTCAAGTAGGCCCACTGGATTTTGATGCTCACAGTACTTTAAATTTATGAGGAGATATCATAAAAGAACACTTCTTGTGAGCTTTTTCCGACAATCCCATCCACCAAACAAAACATTTTAATTATTTATGTCCTTAAAAAGAAAAACAAATAAATCTATGAAAGATGCCTTGAAAGAAGGAAAATTTTCATCATACAATGTTTTTTCTGATAGAACATCACAAAATTTCTTATGTTGCGTTTGAAGCATTTCAATCTAGGCTTTGACAAGAAACATGGATACTTTGAGGAGAGCAGCGTATTCGGATATGTGTCGGTACTGACACTCTACGAATCTGTGTTTTATATTTCTTAAACGTATTTATAATTTTAAAATATATTTTTTCAAGTTCGAACACGATATTTTTTTATATATTTCTTAGATATTTTGACTGCGTATGACATTTCGTAACATATTTTAACAAATTTTGAATATTAAAATGTAACTTTTTCAACAATAATAAAATAGTATAATTGTTAATAAACGTTCAAATTTTATTACATAATGATTAGGGATGCTTATTTTATATGTTGTGAAACGAACTTCGATGTTATATTAATGATTGCATTTAGATTCGTAATATTTTTAAAAAATTTGACCAAAAACCACATTAAAAATTTGACCAAAAACCATGTTGGAAGGAGATTATGACTAATATCGTACTAATTTTGATATGGGTTTAAAGTAGTGAATTGTTTGAGCATTTATGTAAATGTCAATGGTAAAACTGAATGAGTTGAATGAATATAACTGATTTATGGAATCAAATGAAAATTAGTTGAATTTAGTCTATGGAGTCTAGATTTCCTATGAAAAATGCATGTAGTTTGATATCCAAATTTTTATTTTTTATTTTTTGTCAAACATTATGGGCCTATTTATACGCGTTTTGTTTTAGGCCTTTTGTTTTAACTTAAAACAAAACATGTTTGGTAATATTTATTTGTTGCAAGATCTTTGAGAGCAAAAACATGAAAACATGTTTGGTAAAAAATGTTACAAGTTTGAAAAATATAATGATTAGTTTAAAAATCTTATTTAAGAGTTTTTTTTATTTTTTAAATAATTAAGAAATTTACTAAATTATTGTTTCAATTTTTAACATTTTATCAATTGCTCTTTTATTCCATTTTTATTTTTTTATTATTTTATTTTATTTTATTTTTTTTTTGGCGCTGTTACCAAACAGACCCTGAGCATACATAATCATGTAAAATGCATGTAGTTTGGTATCCAAAAAGATTTTCTTGATGTCAAACATTATGCACACATAATCAATAAGAAAGATGAAAAAAAAAAATCAATAAGAAAGAAACATACTCTGTGACTTTAAGGTATGACCAGTATTTCAAATTGGATTGTAGTGTAAAACTTGATCATGATTTTCAAGTGGACTTAGATCGCTTCCTTGAGTTCAAATTGTCTATTTACTATTTTGCCCAAATGTTGGAACCACTCTTAAATCATTTGATTATCAATACCATGTCTAAAGTCGTCATCAAGAACATACCTACGGTTTCCTTTAATTGTCCGCATTTTAATTCATAATTTTTTAATTTATCATATAATTTATTGAAATCGGTTTCTCCATTCCAAAAATCTTATGACAATGTCTGTCATTTCCACCAAGAATCAACATGATTTTTTCACTGAAAAATGATACAATGCTACACTTGACGCTACAAAGAATGATTTGATTGAATTTCACATCATCTCCTTTAAATAGAAAATAAGGGTAATGTAAATTAAATGACAGAAAAGGGAATAGCCATTGAACCGTACCATATATCTCCTTCTCTATGGCTCAACGAGTTTATTTGCGAATTTTAAAATTTAATAAGTTTAAGGCGCAGGGTTCGAGTCTCGCTGAGTGTTTTTTGTGGCTAATTTTCATTGTCCCGCAGTGACTTACCTGGCTTAGGTGGGGAGGCACTTTTCTAAATTCTCGAAAATTAATCAGGATGTTGAGGGACTTAAAGAATTTGTGCATTCTGGACACCTGAATTAATTAAAAATAATAATAATAAAAATTTAAAAAAACTTTGACCATAAATCTGTCTCAATTTCAAATTCTTTATTATTCTCTTGTTCACGTCATTGAACCTTACCAATAATTAGTCAACTTTTTTAGTTGATAAACTTCAACAACTATCTTACGAGTATTAAATTGGTACTCAAATATTATTTCACCACAGCCGCCCACCATCCTTCTCCATGCCTTAAATATTATTTCATAATGGCACACCATCCTTCTTCTTGCCTTATTATTTACTCTCCACATCATAACTTATACGGCAGGCCATTGTGGTGCCATGTCACTGCTCATTTGTTGTCACCTACATCGTTCAAGCCATTGATGATGACACTTGACTGCCAATTTAAGGTGGCAGTACAAAAATATACCACCAAATATTTAAGTTGCAAAATACACCACTAACAAATTGATCGAAATAACAAAACATATTACCTATAAAGCCATTAAAATAGCACAATATGTCATTATTCAACTACTAAGAAGCACGAACACGGACATGGAACACAAAATACGGGTACGATATGATACAGATACGGCGATACGTCAAATTTTTAAAAAATAAGATACGGACACGACAAGAATACGACAATAAAATAAAATAATTAATTATTATAGATATATATAAAAATAATACTAGTAATTGTGTTTTTTCAATTTCTCCTCTATTCTTAACCCTTTTAAATTAGGCCCACTAAATATTTTGAGCCTAAAGCCCAAATTTTATTTATATATAAACAAAGAAATAAATATCTATATATTCAATAGGGCTAAGTTTTATCCGTAACCAAACAAGGGATAAAAGTAGATAAGGTTTAACTTTTTGTTTGCACCATAAAATAAATTTTTATATGACACATGGTGTTGTTTGATTGGAAGAGAAGATTTATACCGTGTTATTAAAAAAGGGACTCTTATTTTATGAAAAATGGAGTCTAAAGTCACGTGGGTTTGTTTCAGAATAAAGTTTGGATAAGGATAAGATGGATAAAATCTTCAGACAAAGTGTTTGAATTCAAATAGGATATTTGAATTTAAACAACATGAAAGTAACAACTACTTTCAACCGCCACAAGATTTTTCTATAAATAGTACTCGAAGACATCTGTGCAAAAGGTCCCTGACCAACACAATGCATTTTCTTTATCAATGTTTTTCATTCTATGCAATTTCATTCAACCAAATAATTTGGCATGCCTGGTGGGACACCAAAAGTGTCTAAATCTATGCCATTTACTCGGTCTCAGTTGCAAAATTTGCCTGAGAAACAGCCTCAACATTAGGAATAAGAGGCTAAAATTGAAGTAAATCAACAGCCAAGTAATTAGATGTTGGCTAAGAATATTAATAATTTAGTGCAACGGATGGAAATTTCTAACCGTACCTTTCATGGAGCACTAAAGCCAATCCATAACACATTGGCTAATTTGAGTAACTCTTTGGCCGTCCTATCAACAAGGTTTGATCAACACCTTATGGCACGATCAAATGCTACAGATACTTTATTGCATGCACAACAACAAGTTCTAGTGCCTATTGGGGTTCAACAGAATTACTACTAACAACAGCGGCAAGGGTTTCAACCCTTTCTGCAGCCGTTGCATGGACAGTATCCACCCCAGGCTAATCAATCGCAGGCTAATTAGCCGTAACATCAGACACCAGCAGAGTAATCGGAGGGGTCAATCAGAATGTGAATTGGCCACCACTTAATCCAATTTATCAATACCAACCACAGGTATGTCAGCCCCAAGAGGGGTAAGATAATTTTAATGCTGGTTTTAATTTTCCAGCGCCTCAGCCTCAGGTGTCGTATATGCCTTAGCCTCAGGCGCCGAATGTGCCTCAGCCTCAGGCGCCGAATGTGCCTCAAACTCAGGTGTCTTATGTGCCTCATCCTCTGGCACCTTATATGCATCAGCCTCAAGCACAACAGCCAAACCATCAACCCTTTATGGTTGATAGAGATCAATTGGCTAATTTAATTGAAGAAACTTATGGACCATCCCCAAGAAGAGTTGGTTGCCTTACATATAGGAAGCCATATCTGGGTTATATAGACCCATATGAGTTTCTAAAAGGCTATAAAGTTCCCGATTTCGTTACCTTTTCGGGAGAAGACTCCACTTCAACCATAGAACACATTAGTCGATTTTTCATTCAATGTAGTGAGGCTGGAGCGAATGAATTCTTAAAATTAAGGTTATTTGCTAATTCCCTTAAAGGGACCGCATTTTATTGGTATATAAATTTACCGGCAAATTCGGTCTATACTTGGCAACAATTGGAAGAAAACTTTCATACCTAATTTTATAAGACCAT